ATTGCGACTGCACCCACCACCGATTATTCTCGGCAAAACGTTCAGCCTTTGAAATTTTGTTTTTTTTGTTTTTTTCTATTTCCATGTACACTTCTAGAGTATATATCTATTCAACAAAAAATTGTCCTCCCTCTCTTTTGCATGCTTCTTCGAGCCCCACTATGGTTTACAAAAACGAGGAACAATGTGAACGGTCTCGATGATGGTGTCAATCGTTATGACGCTACTGTGTCGGCGACCGTTTACCTTCTCCCATTGCAACTTCTTACAACCTGTTGTGTGTTCACTTTCGCTATCCACCTCTTTGTACCATTGCACAAAACAACATTTCTGCATCTCCGCGACACCCCCTGTACAAGTGTTTATGACGAAAAACATGGCTACCGATGCATACCATATGTTGTCATTCCCGCCTTCCACTGCAACATCGTTGTGCACGGCTCTCCCGTGGAACTGTAGTGAAGCTCTTGCCACTAGAACGCCTGCGCCCCTGTGCGTCCCGTCGTGTGTGGCGGCGATAGTCAAGTGTGTTCGAGTGTGTATCACTTGGTCATCAGATGGAGGTTGACAGTCGTTCTCCGTCATGAACTTCGTGAGCGCAGCTCAAAAATCCTCTCTGCAGGGAAGCTCGTTAAGTATTCTCAACGCCGCGTTGCTTATACACTCCACCTCCGGCAAATGCACACCGTCCATATGGAACCACCGGAGTTGTAAAGTTGCTGTGTCGCGCGTAGCTAGGTTATTAATTCCAGTGCCCATGCAGTCTGTCACGGATGACCAATTTTCTGCCGACCTCTTTCTTTGTTTTCTCACAATCTCCATCTCATCCTGCAAACCCAATGAGCGTCGGACATGATTCACCATCTGGGAAGCGGCCTTGCGCTTGTTCGATGCCAGATATGGCTGTTTGCAGAACCTCTGATGATGATGCTCCCACACATCAGCCGCGAAGGTGTCAAGGACACCGGATCGCTCTATGCATGTTCTCAGATGCATAAGGTTGTGCAAGTTCGGAATTTTCCAATCCGAGGTTTGATATTTTTCCATCTTCGTTTTTATACTCGTTATGAAATCACCTTTTAATGCATCACATACATCGAGAGAAGTCGCAGTGTGGGTCGACTTACGAAACACGTGTATGTACATTTCCATGAGTTTGATGAAACAAGCGCAAATAGATTTGTCTGTCGCACGTGGGATGATATCACAAATAATAAACACGCAAACTGTCATAACAGACCGATTTTGCTTCGCTTCAAAACGTCATTTCCTTGAAAAGAAATCACAACCTGTGGCCACAGGCAACACGAGTTGCGGGTATGTCCTCACACATCTCTCACTGATGCTCTGCAACCTCGCATCCATCTCGTTTAATATATCGATTTGCGCGATATCCGACAACTTCTTATAAGCTGCTGCCTTGAATGCATCTATCACATGCAAGAAAATGTCGTGTTCAATGGTGTGCATACGGTCCGGTTGCAAAGCGAGATGGTAATCTAGTTGAGGATCGTCACCATTCGGACCCCTGTAGAATCCCCAAAGGCCGTTCTCTTGAACATGCTTATGCATGTTCAATTCTGACATTCGTGTCTCTGCGGCACGGCGAATATCGTTGTCCCCATTGTTGAAGCAGTTCGCAGCAAGTTGCGTCTCTAGCGTCTGCGACCTCCGGCAGTTGCTAAAATCGACGATGACATCGAAATCGTCTTTGGACACTGTGTATATTGGACAAACACCGAATTTCACAGTTGCAAGGGCACATATTTTGGGATAGTCCTGTATATAGTTCATGATGAAAGGGTGGACTGTTATCTCGCCGAACAGCTCCGTTGTAACTATCATGTCGTCATGGGATGCCTCCTTTGTGGACTGCAATACTGTTGACAACGCTTTATGCAATATCACAGTTTTCCGTTTTCTAAATGGGGTGGAGTGCAGACCCCAGCCCTTGTCACGTGGCCGGTGTTGAAGCACAGGAAGATATGCAAGGAGTGTGGCGTCCGATGCGCGATCGGCTATTGACATCATCAGAGGATACACTTACTGCTTTTGACGACCATCTACATGAGTCTTGTCTGAATACGGAGACAGAGGGATGACATAACGTGTTTTACCATTCGTGTCCACACCCTAGTCCGCTCTGATAACATTTTGGACATGGTGGCTCAACTGGCCCGTGCGAGAGCCACATATGTTGATCCCCTCCCCGGGAGGTTCTATTTCGAGGCAAGAAACCGTTTCAACGTTGTGCAGTGCAACACATACAAGGTCAGCGAACGTTGTGCGCCAGTCGCGGTACCACAAAATGGCGTGCGCTTCTTCTGGCCAATCATCACCACGTAGATTGATCTCTTGCCACCCTGCAGCCTCAGCCTGGCGGCTTGCCCATGTCAGACACGCACGACTGTTACGAAATGTGATATCTCTTGGGTCGAATCTAGGATTCTTGAGGAGTGACAACAGACAGTCAACGTCAGTTTGGGACATGCCCACACCGCCCCTGCATGAGAAAATCAGTGCTGCAAGTTTGCGGGAGCTGTCGAATGGCTCTGTGTGTTGTTGTTGCTGTTCGTCGGATGCGCAGTCTTCTTCTACATCGGGAGGGGGCTCAACCTCCTCGCTTTCCCCACTGACCAGATTAATGGGAGCACTATTTGACGGTTCACCGATAACCCCCCCAACTATCTCTTGTGTCGTCCTCCTATCTTCCACAACGGATGGACATGCCCGAGCTCGGTGTGAGTTCATCGTCCGTAATGACATGAAAGGCCGCCCACAGTCACACACGTGACTCGCGCCATCCATTGCAACTACGTCCGAGAATTACAAAGTGATGTCACTTAATACCTATCACAGATGGGGCGTGCGTATTCGGTGTGAAACTCATGAGTTCCTTTCACACTCCCTCCGCCCCCCTCCCCCCTCTCCCTAAAGGTCGACTCAACACCGCTGCTATGCACTGCTGACAGGTTTCAAGACAACGACAACATTCCAAGCGGTATTAAAATCAAGAATTGTGGTGAATGTTTCGCCCTTTTTTTTTTTTTTTT